TTACAAAGGAATCCACGATTTTCATGTTACTCATAGTCATTTTCCTTCACCTTTGTTTAGGTGCTTGATTGATGTACTCGCGTCATGCAAATTTCGTTTCCTGTAACTGTCATTAATCATTCAGCATTGCTTCAGTGAGGTGCCGAAGTCGTGCCGCGCAGTCTTTGTATATGTTCGCATCTTTCACAGAATTGTGTACATCCGTTTCAAATTTAATGAAGTCCGTCAGGATCCGCTCGTTTGTTTGTTTCGCAGAGACTGGATTGTAAAACGCAACTTGCAATGGCTTAAGTAAAGTTTTGTGGCACGCCGTCGCCGAAAGTATCACTTAATTAGTGAACCCATTTGACTTTCATCCAAGACAAATGATTCGATTTTGTAACTGATGCAATAGCCTTTTACACCTTCTGAATCATCAAAGTGACTGTACCTTTCAGCATAGATACATTTTTCAAAGAGGAGATGGTAAGAGAGGTAATGATATGATCTATCTGTCTCGGTAGAGCTTATTTAAGCTAAACCGTTTATTTTCACACCTCATTGATCCTGTCTAATCTGGGATTAATTACGTAAATTATGAATCGATTTTCAAGGTCAGGCGACCAAGTGTAGTCTTGAGTAGGGTATAAATCAAATACGAAATGATCCGTTATTTACATTCACCAATGAAACTATAAGAACAAGTTTAGTTTTAATTAATCAACCATGTGATATTCATCTGTAAGGAGATAACCATATCTTTTTGCATAGTTTTTTGAATGACGTTCATGAGTCCTAAATGTTGGATGTGTTTCGCAATCGTCTTTTTGCCGCATTCTTGCGAGTTATCGTCACTGTAGCAAAAATGTCCTATGAAATTGAGAAGGTGGGTGTTAGGTTAATTTCTTCAGGGCAAGATCGGAATTCCGTTGTTATTAAAATTAGCGGCGGACTAAACTGTGTTAGGCTCGAACACTCCAATTACGTCATGAGCGAGCCTAATACTTGACCGAGTATTGAAATACTCAAGTAAAATTGTTTTACTTTCACTCATTATTTGTCGTAGGTGATGATCTTTGAAGAGGTTAGGATAACTTACTGCTTCTCGCATGCGAAATACAATTGATTTTTAAACTTTTAAGGAGTTATTTCAAAGGGATGTTGCACTTTCTCGTTCGCTCACATTTACAGTGCTATTTGATCTAAACGGCTCAATAAAAGCTCATCGTATTATCTGCCAGGGACTATGGCCTCCTCTAAATTGGAATGATCATCCATATCAATATCCTTTCAATATGCCGCGATTGGCACGATATTACACGCAGTTCAATGTTTTGACCTCACGTCTTCTAAATGTGATCATTTTCAAAAGAAATATTTTCTAGCAACTGTTGTTCAGTGGGGACTGATCCAGTTGTGATAACTCACAAGTATCCCCCAAAAAGGCATATCTTTACGATTGTCGCGAGGGATAATTTTATGATTAAGGTGAAAACTTCCTGACATTTATGCGTTTGTCATTTTCACTGGGTTCTTAATATTCAAACCGCACCAATGAATTCAATAAATCGATTAATCTACAGCTGCCTTGTAGAACTTTCTCTTTTTAACTTCCCCATTCGGTTAATACAAGTGAGACATGTTTCTGATATAGCATTTCACTCCTTTTATGGAGTATAAGGTTTCCGTCGCCCATAAAAACTGTGTAGTTTCATCAGTTATAAACCCCAATTGACAAAAGCATTTGTATGAAGGGAATCCCCGAAGAACATAAAACTTCTTTCTCGCATCTTCGGCATTACGCCTGATTTACGTACTCTTGAATTGAAATGCATGTAATAAAATAAGCTTCCTAATAGTAGAAATAGTGGTTGCTCGGCAATCTGATGAGTACAATGCAAAGTCAAGCAGTTATAATTTCTTCAGTCTAAGACTGTGCTACAACGCAAGCCATGATAGATTTCACGCCACAGAAAGCTATCTCGTGTGGAAGATGTCTCCTTCTTCAAATGTTTCATTATTTACGTTCGAATATAAGTTTGCCAAACTTATTTTGTTAAGTTTTGGCAACTCCCTGGCCTTGCAAAGACGTTTGAAAAGCTAAAACCTCTACTTTCCATGTTCATTTTCCAATTTAGAACATTCTTGCAATGTTAATGGCCTATTTTTACAGTCACATATAAACAAGGGTACACAACACAGACTTGTTATTCCGATTAAAGTTTTTCGAAGCTAACCAAACCTTTCTTGATTAGAGTTTTCCTTTGTGATTTCATGAACAATTCAATGCAACCATCAACTACATTCCATGGTCTTCGTGGGCAATAATGTAATTTTTTTACGCCGTATTACGGAGATGATCGTCCTGAAGCCAGAAAGCGTCGGAAGAAATGGGTCGACTTTGTGAAAATGAAACGAGCAAAGTGGGAGCCATCACAGAGTTCAGTGATTTGCTCAAAGCATTTTATAGCTGAAGACTTCACTCGACGCTTAGATCTCAACATAGAAGGACAAGGAACTCCCCTTACTCCGTGGTTACAACGAGATGACTTTGGGATCTGTGCTATCCCATCTATTCATGCTTCAGCGATAGAAGCACACAGCAAACCACAGAGTGACAGACAACGAAGAATGGTGAGACTATTCCTTTTCGTTTTAGAATTGATTAGTCAGCAGGTCCTAAAGTCATCAACTTCCCCGCTAAACTGCTACTGATTCTTGCCTGTGAAATTCACTTTTCTTCTAGGCTGTTAAAGCGGCAATGAGGGAACATACTGACCTTTCAGCTGAAGGCGAGCCTCAACGGAAAGCGGCGAGAGAGGCCGCAACTTCGGAGGCAAGTACGAGTGGTGAAGATGATCATCCTCCAGTCGACGAAACTGTCATTGAATGCTCACATCAACAAAAACAACTCGAGATTTCAAGTAGTGATCCACCTGAATTTGATGACTTGAGTACAGTAGAGGAGTGTGGAAATTGTATGATGCTGAAGGAAACGAATAGGCAATTGTTGAATCGTGTGAAGACTTTGAGTGTGACTGTAGCGAAACGGAGGAAAGAACGCAAGAATGAACTAAGGAAGCATCGCAGAAAAGGTATAACTGAATTTAGATTAAAAAAAAATAAGTGCCTTGATTTCCTATCACTCGGGAGAGAACATAAATCATGGGAACGTTCATCAGCCTAGGATATGATTTGATTTGCCTGTTACTCTTTGTATTTTTACATTCATTCATTTTTCGTTTCTTAACTAAACTTTCTATCAAAATTGATTACTTTTATTGACAGAGATAAAATGTACAATTTACCAAGCCAGGAGCTCTCAGTAAACCCTTTGTGTCTTTATGAGCAGAGCCCCGGGACAAGTTTGCAAATTTATAATATTACAGTCTACTAAAAATACCTATAAATTAACTTTTCTCCGTGTGCTTACAGTGAACCTCCATTAATGTAAGCTGTTGTTGATTACCAGTACTTTACTAAAGATTGTTGCTACGGTAGGACTACATCAGCATAAATGCCACCAAACCACAGATTTTCCTCCAGGTGAAGAGTTCAGTGATAAAGAAGGTGGGTCAGATTCTGAAGTTGAATCACTTGTGGAGGATGAAGATGGGACAAATACCTTGCATGAAGTGGAGCTGGAAGATTATGAATCAGAGTATAAAACAGAAACTGAAACAGAGACGGAGACAGGAACAGAGTCAGATGAGGAAAGTGGAGATAAATCTACATGGTAATACTATGTACATATTTCCAAATTTGCATTTTGGTGCCTGACTCTTGCACCCAAAGAATGTGAAAGAGGTTTCATCTGCTTCATCTTGTAGTTTACTATTTGAAGTCTTTGAAGTTTGCTTTTGTGACACTTCTGTTAGGGGAAACCTGGAGATGGCAATATAAATATTTTATTTTATTTTGCATATATATGTTTCTGGCTTTCCATAAAGGGAAAAAACCTTCGCACAGAGCCAAAGCACATCGTCTTCCTGTCCCAGTTATTGCTACTGTTCCAGTTTTGCCATACCTGCAAGGCAGACAATCCAACAGTGGAAACCAGTGAGATTGGTACTGAGGCAGTGGTGAGAACAACATGTAATAACCCGACATGTCAAAAGAAGAATACCTGGTACAGTCAGCCACTCTTGCCAGGCTATCACATCCCTGCTGGCAACTTTCTGCGTTGCCTGTGTATTCTCCTTACCGGAGGATCAGCGACAAGGGTGTTTCAAATGTTCAACCACATGGGCCTTGGTTGTGTTTCTATTAGCACATTCTTTAATTACCAAAGGGTGTGTAGAGCATATTAGAATTACAACTTAAATTTAATAGTTCAAAATTTCGTTTAGGTTACCATCAGTTCATATGTTAAAGACTATATAAGTCAGTGCTTGCTTCAGTAATCCTGTTACCCCACCAAGAGGAATGTTGTTGAAAATTGTTATATTGACACTCAGAGTAACAACATTCCTTTAAATACAGATTGATTTTTAAGACACCAATGTGTACTTAGATTGTAACTGTTGTGATTTTTTCTCTGACAATCGATCACAAACATTGTTGATAATAACTTCAACATTTCTTTGCATCATCTAATCATGAGGCAGGCTAAATCTCAGTATTTGCCTGTACTCGGCTGCTTAAAAAAGTAAAATAAGATGCCATGTCCATTCACAGTTGGAGCTGTGGAGAGAATACAATAAGGTAAACCTTAGCTTTTGTCTTTGCAGAGGAAACTCTTTCCAACCATCCATCTGTACTGGCAGAATTACCAGAAACAAATGCTGACTAAGCTTAAGACACTCAGTAATGGAGTAACTATAGCAGGAGATGGTCAGCATGATAGTATGGGTCACAGTGCCAAATTTTGCGCCTACACAATATTCTGCTGCACTGTTCCAATGATTATACACTTTGCCTTGGTCCAGGTAGGAAGAAAATTTGTCAGAATAATTACATGTATTATTAGGTTGGCATAATGATTTAATTTACTGCTCTCTGAGCTAACAGACTAATGGCAGTTCAAGTAGAGTGTTTTTTTGTCCAGGGACTTGTAATTTTTATGCTTTGAGTGTCTTTGATGGAAGATACAGCACTAAAATTGTCAACCTCTTCTGTACATAGTGCAAGAACTGTAGCAGTAGGGTCATTTGTGATACTGCACATGACATAATTTTTATTATTTTAAAAAAACTTTACACCCATCATAAGTTACTGTGTTGCTGATGTATGGACCCTTTCATGTACCCTTACATATGTCTTTCATCATGTGCACCTACTTATGTTGTTGTTTTCTAACAAACCTTTCACCTTGTTATCTTTGTAGAGAAATGATGCTGGAAGCAGTCCAGCAATGGAATTTATGGCTTTTAAACAGTGTATGAATTTCTTGATTGCATATGGCGTGGTCATTACCACATTCATATCTGACAGGCATGTTTCTATTGCCAGCCACATGAAGAAAGTTCTGAACAGAATTGTGCACTACTTTGACATCTGGCATCTAAAAAAAAGTGAGAGAAATTAATTACCTATTGGTATATGTAGTTGAATTATGTGCCATAAAATTAGTGTTAAATTTGTAAGCACTGTATGATACATCACAGCTTGTTTGTTTGTTTACTGTTACAAAGAGTTTTTATTCCTGTCTCTATTTCAACAGAAATACGTTAAGTATTGACTAAAATATCTAAAGAAAAAGGGTGCGAAGCACTAGCAGAATGGATCAAACCGTGTGAGAACCACCTCCAGTGGAGTGCAACATCCACATTCAGTGGGAATGGCAGGATAATTTGGGCCAAGTTCAAGGCCTTTCTGAGTCATGTGGTAAACAAGCATGCGGGATTCGAGGATCCATTATTCAAGAAATGTTCTCATGGTGACATTCAACCGAGGAAATGGTTGAGAGTTGGTATGTTCTTTACCCCATCCACTTGAATGTAATATATATCAATGTGGAAAGTACTATTACTAAGTTTATACAGTAATGTAACTGAATGGTTTTAATACCTCAAATCAAACTTGCATGGAGAAGATGGTCTTGGGGTAACTAGGGTGTGTGTACATAAACTTTTTATTAAATTTTTTTATGTCACACTACATTGTAGTGATCGGATATTTTTCTCAGGGATCTAATTACAGCTGGTATTTATCTCAAAGGAACTGTTGTCTATGACAAGTTGTGTGGTGCACTGACAAATAATGCATTGGTAAAGGGAATAAAACAAGCTTCTCCTTTCGCTCAAACTAGCTGCTTGGAAGGCTTTCATTCAGTTCTGAACCACTTTGCACCAAAAATGATTGCCTACTCATACATTGGGATGTATTGCAGGTACAAGAAGATTTGCCCTTAATTCAGTGATTTAATTTTTAATTCTCCCTTTCTGCTCTTCTGTTAATATCTCATAAAATAGTACATCCATTAGACAGTGACATAATCTAACAAGAAACTGCTTTTACAGTTTGTTTGCTGACCCTATACCAACTGAATATCAAGTATCTACTGCCAACCTGCTGATCAACTACCTGTACACTGTAGATCCCAAACATAAATTGTTTCAATTTTGGGTAGAGAGAACTTGGTGAAGAAAAACCAAATATGTTTTGCCCCTTGTAGACAGTTTCATTGTATTTTGCTAATTGTTTACCAAGCTTCACATAAATGTGCCTGTCATTCCTTTTTTTTGTTGTTCTTTATTTTAATCAATCTTTATTGCAGTAGAAGACCCAAGACAGTTTCTGTATGTGGCACTACATAAATGCATTATTGTTTCCTTCCTTATGTCTACATCATTATTTCAAACATGTGCAGGCATATTTTAGCTGCTGTCCACTCCAACTTTAATTTGCAAAGAGAAGTTCAACATCGTGGGAGAGATAGAGTTGAGCGAGTAAAAGTGTCCTACCCAAAGTTTAAGAATGGAGAGGCATGTGTAAGGGATGTTCGAGTCAAACCAAACTTTGGTATGTATCTTGTACATATACATGTCCACCTGCTAAGATACATGCCTCATTGATTTCTGACCTGACCACCTTTCAATGCTATTTCCAATTTTTGTAGACTATGTGGAGGACATTTATCAAACATTTGTTAATGCAAGCAAGGATGAATTACACAAAGCTGCCACAAAACTCAAAGATTCGATTCCTGCTCCAATGAACACAATGTTTGAGAAACAACCAAGAGAAGAGGCACTACAAAAGAGAGCTGAAAGGAGTAAGATGGTTACAAGAGATGTTCCTCCCACTACACCAGGTATTGTCAGCAACCAAGTCCAGTATAACTATTTTTTAATGGCATTAACAATGGTAACACATAAGATTAAGTAATTTCTATACCTAAAGAAATGTTGAGTCGACCTCGGTTAAGTTAAGTTACCGGTATTCATTCATTTCTTTTCTTTTTTGTCTCACCAGTGTCTCAATTCCCAGAAAGCAGTAGCAAAGGATCAACCAAAAGAAAAAGCAGTAGTCAACAAACAAAGAAATCATCTAAACCCCATTACTGTGCAGCTTGCAAGCGACCAATGAAGGGACATGGGAAATTTCTTGATTGTCCCAAAAATAAAAATGAAGGAATGGACAATGTCTAGTGTGTCCAACAAATATCTGATACTTTAAAAAGGTGTTTTTGTTATTCCATGTTTATTTAGTTTTATTTTAATATTGTAACTCAAAATTACATTCTAGTCTTCTTCATCAAGGTCAAATCCTGTGAGACTTTCATCCTTATTGACTGGAAATTGTTTTTTGATGGCCATATATGCACAAGCAGGTAAAGGAATCCTCTTCGACCCCAACATTCCATACACCAGCCGTGAGAACTCTCGATAGGAAACACCTCTTAAGAAACTGTAAGAGATCAGAGGAAAAAAGTGTGTTACTATCAGACTTTCGGCCTGGCTAAACTAGAAACACTGTTTCATTGGGATTGCTGCTAAGGTGGCTAAACTAGAAAACCTGTTGCAGAAACAACATTTGTGTGCAGGAAGCAAAAATGGTTTGACAAAAGTAAGAAAAATTTCTTGTTTCTGCAACAAATAACTCTTTTACTTTTCCGCGAGATTTTAATATTGGAAGTGTGATTTACGCAAGTCTAAGAATCTCAAGAATGAAAAAATTAAATTTGATTACTATGGAATTCACAGCAGTTTACATGGCTTACCTTTCTTCGCTGCCTGTCTGTCGATTCACTTGTTTCCCTTTGGTTTTGTATTTACCCGCTGCCAACCTTAGACTCCATTTCTGAAGGCAAACCGCTTGAAACCCAGGATGTTCAGTTATACAGGTCAAAGTATCATCAGGGAAAAGGTCTTGAAGGACAAGATCACTCTTCATTGACTCTATGCAACCTTCCAGCTCACTGCAGCAATAACATTCGCTAATGTTTTGAAGGGAAGCAATACCGCAGTTACTACACTTGCACCTACAACGAGCAAACACGAAATTCATTGAAGGAAAAGCCGATGCCAGCAGTTAAAATAAAGGAGGCTTTAAGGTAGGCACAAGATCATGCTAACGAAAAAGTAAGTGCAAATAAGCTTCTGAATGTAAGCAAAGTGAACAGGTGTTGCTACCGTAGGCACCATTCCCTTACTTCAACCTTCCCATTGAAGCGGTCCTTCAGTTTTCGTTCCAGTTCTTCGTCGGCCTCTCTCTCCTTGTCATACTTTGCTGTCCATTCCTCGTCTGCGAGCGGATCGTCCGCATGCGGCGCAACATCTTCGCTTGAAGTTGGCGAAGATCTGCCTGTGAGTAACTCACGCGCTGGCTCCTCTCTTTCGATTTCAATGTCGTATTCAGCGATAAAATCAATTTCTGAGTCCTCCGAGTCATCACTCATTTCTGAATCAGAGGATGTGGTCGACATTGTTAATTAAAGACAATCGGTATGAAGCGCCTGCGGAAAGAAGTTTCGCTATACGAAGCCTTCGGATACTAAGAATTTCAGCAGTGTCTCTCGTGGATCGTTCTCGATTTGACGTCACACTCCCGCTCCCCCCAGACTTCTTTCACGCGGTCATGGGGCCATTGAAACTCGACTTCAACAGGGCATAGAAAATCGACGATTTAACCAAGTCAAAAAATTTTTGCCGCATAATACTCCATAAAATACGCTTAAATTTTTTAGAAGAAAAATATTTTTGAGTGTAGGTGCACTTTAATGAACGTCAAATGGAACAACTCGGTACACAATGATTTGCCTTAAAAAGGTCTTCTCAAGATCGCCAGCAGCATCAGAACACGCTAATGCTGAACATGTGTCACTCTAATTCCAAACTATCCTGCAATGCCGGCGTATTTTGGGCGCACGAGTGCACATTTTCGTATTAGGCCGCCATCTTAGATTTGGTAACTGTGGAGTATCGGGGCGAGGAAATATTTACCGAGGGAGTAGGTGTTAAGTGGAAAAATGGGCAACGGGGAAGAGGGAGGGGAAGGAAAGCATTTTTCCTTCCCCTCCTTTCGGCCAGTTGGGATTCTTAATAATGCTATTTTCAATTTGAAATATTTGTTTCAGTTGTTTGGTGGAAGACCTATAAACTAGCTTCTAGCTAAGTGTTTCTCCACGTTAAAAACCTTTTTTTTTTTTAGACATGATGGAATGAAACTTCCTTCTGTAGCTTGAAATCAATGGCTTGCGTTTTAGCAGTTATTAGCTGAAGACACTTAAACTACTCAACTTTGTACAAATACTTATCAGGGAAGCATGACTTTTGATAGATTGCGGAGCAACTACTATTCATACTATTGGGAAGCTTATTTTATCACGTGCATTTGAATTGGAGTAAGTAAATCAGGGGTAATCACCGAAGATGCGATGTTCTACGGGGATTCCCGCCATGGAATGGTTCATGGAAGTTAACAAAAGAAAGTTCTACAAGACTGCTGTGTTTTAATCGATTTAATCAATTCCTTTATGCGGTTTGAATCTTATGAAGTCATTGAAACTGACGAACACGTGAATGTCAGAAAGAGTTACTTGAATAAAGTTCACCTCAATCATAAAATAATCTTAGGAACGTTAAATGGTCTTAAGTGTACCTTTTTGGGGCATACTTGTGAGTTATCGCAACTGGATCAGCCCCCATAACAACAATTGCAAGAAAATATTTGTTTTGAAATATACTTGAGTACTTAAAAAGCTCAACAGGCGAGTGTTTGGCTTCCTTATTATGTAATTGGAGCGTTCAAGTGTAACAGCGTTTAGTCAGTCGCTAATTGTATTATCGCTGAAATTCCGATCGTGCTTTTAAGAAATTTACCAAACACTCCAATCTCAATATCATATTGAGAACGTATTGCCACACGGGTTGTTACAGTGACGATAACTCTCAAGAATGCGGCACGAACATAATGGCGAAAATAATTATGAAGATTTCAACGAGGGTCGTGAAGGGGGGTACCAAATCCCAGTTCCCAACCTAAATTTGGCCCAAATCCCAGTTCCCAGGCTAATTTTTGCCAAAATCCCAGTTACCAAATCTAAAATCCCATTACTAATGATTATTTGTAAAACCATGCGTATAATAAATTAAAAGCACTGATTGACGCTATTTGGATACACGTACCTTCACCTGGACTGAAGAAAATCTCTCATTCTGCTGGTGAATATTCTTTCTCTTTCATCCCTTGTTGACATAACCATATGAAAACCAATTCTATTATCTGCACAATCCTCGTCTGACTCACTGTCTCCACTCACTCGATTGAATGGCCCGAAAAACCCCGCTTTGCAGCGGAATGTTCAATCCCACAACTGTTTACAAATGTTTTTTCCAATTCCTTTGGACTACAGTTTAAATCCAACAAAAGTTTAGAGTTTTCGGTGTGTATAACGGCGTTATTTGCATTGACGTACTTGATTTCTAGTCTGTCAATGTTTGATTTCTCTATTGTTTACATCAAAGGTTATGGGTCGATACAAAGATATGTTCCTGATGTTATTTTGCGCTAAAGTAAGCAGATATCTGCATGTAGTAATTTTAATACTATTCAAGAAAAGTGGCTCAAATTTGATAACAATAGGCTTTGTTAGACAAGCGAAAAATGACCCTATAAGGCCATTTTTGAACAATGGCGCAACAGCTTCAGAACACACGAGGGATTTGTCGAAGTTTCCGATTAGCATACGAGCGGGAAATTTAAACGCTCGGAAAGACTAGACTTTAGTTTAGAACTATGACGACTTTAGTTTAGAACTATGACAGTTTCTGGAGAAAGATTTATACGGAGAGAGGTGGTCTGAATGAGACACAACGTATTTTGAATTCTC